CATAGCTAAAATAAAGAATACCCTGGAAAGAATCAACAGTAGATTAGAAGAAGCTGAGGATCAAATCAGTGAATTAGAAAACAGGTAGAAAAAAACCACTCAATTAGAGCAGCAAAAGGAAAAATTACTTAAAACGCATTATAACAGTGTAAGGGAACTGTGGGACAACATGAAACTGAGGAACATCTGTATCATAAGGGTATCAGAAGGAGAAGAAAGTAAGCATGGGATTGAGAACCTATTAGAAGAAATATTGACATAAAACTTTCTTAACCTGGCAAAGATAAAAGTTATACAAGTTCAGGAAGCACAGAGCATCCCAATCAAAATGAACACAAAGAGAACCACAGCAAAACACATCATAATTAAAATGGCAAATATTAAAGACAAAGAAAGAACTTTAAGGGCAGCAAGAGAGAGACAGTCAGTTACATAAAAGGCAGTTCCCATTAGACTGTCAGCTGATTTCTCAACAGAGACACTATAGTCCAGAAGGAAATGGCATGAATACTTCAAAGTAATGAAAAGCAAGGATCTGAAACCAAGACTACTCTATCCAGCAAGGCTATCATTCAAAATTGAAGAGGAAATCAGGAGCTTCCCAGACAATAAAAGGCTAAAAGGAGTTTATTACTATCACACCAGCACATCAAGAAATGCTAACAGGACCGTTGGGAGAAGAAGAAGAAGAAATAGAAAGAAACAGAGGAACATAGGCATAAAGAATAAAAATGGTAATAAATAAGTACCTATCAAGAATAACCTTAAATTTAAATGGATTAAATGCTCCAATCGAAAGACATAAGTAGCTGAATGGATACGAAAACATGACCCATATATATGCTGTCTACAAGAGCCCACCTCAAAACAAAAGACTCACACAGGATGAAAGTGAAGGATAGGAAAAAAATTTCTATGCAAATAGAAACAAGTAAATAAAAAAGCTGGGGTAGCAATGCTCATATCTGACAAAATAGACTTTAAAACAAAGGTCATAGCAAGAGACAAAGAAGGACATTATATAATAAAGGGATTGATCCAACAAGAGGATATAAACCTGGTAAACATATATGCACCCAATATAGGAGCACCTAAATATATAAAATAAACTTCTGGAGAACTCTGAAGGGAGAGATCAACAGCAATACCACTGCAACAAAAAACTTAACCAGGGAGGTAAAATAAAAAGCCTGTACTTAGAAAACTACAAGATGGTGAAAAAAGAGATAGAGGAATACAAACAAGTGGAAGTATATACCGTGTTCACGTACTGGAAGAATTAACATGATTAAAATGTTCACACTATCCAAAGCAATCTACAGATTCAATGCAATCCCTATTAAAATACCAAAGGCATATTTCACAGATCTAGAACAAATACTCCAAAAATTTGCAGTAATTCTCAGACATCTCACATAACAGAATTTTCATTGACACATTATCTAGGAGGACAAGAGAAATAAAGGAAAAATAAATAAACAAATTTACTCAAACTAAAAAGCTTCTGCACAGCAAAAGAAACCAACATTAAAATGAAAAGGAGCCGAAACCGGTTTGGCTCAGTGGATAGAGCATCGGCCTGCGGACTAAACGGTCCCAGGTTCGATTCCGGTCAAAGGGCATGTACCTGGGTTGCGGGCACATCCCCAGTGGGGAGTGTGCAGGAGGCAGCTGATCGATGTTTCTCTCTCATCGATGTTTCTAACTCTCTATCTCTCTCCCTTCCTCTCTGTAAAAAATCAATAAAATATATTAAAATAAAATAAAATAAAATAAAATGAAAAGGAAACCCACTGTATATAAGAACATATTTGCCAATGATACATCTGATAAGGGGTTAATTTCCAAAGTAAATAACATACTCATACAACTCAACAAAAGGAAGCAAACAATCCAATTAAAAATGGGCATATAGGACCTGAATAGACACTTCTCCAAAGAGGACATACAAATGGTTCTTAATAAAGAGACTTATTAAAAATGCTCAACATCACTAATCATCAGAGAGATACAAATTAAAGTGACAATGAGGTATCACCTCACACCTGCCAGAATAAAGCATCAATAAAGCAACAAACAAGTGCTGGTGAGGATATGGAGAAAAAGGAACCCTAGAACACTGCTGGTGGAAATGCAGACTGGTGCAGCCACTATGGAAAACAGTGTGGAGTTTCCTTACAAAATTAAAAATGGAACTGCCATTTGACCCAGTGATCCAACTTCTAGGAATATATCCTTAGAATCCCAAAACACCAACCAGAAAGAATATATGCACCCCTATGTTCATGTCAGTGTTATTCACAATACTAAGATCTGGAAACAGCCCAAGTGTCCATCAATAGATGAGTGGATAAAAAAGCTGTGGGACCTTTACTCAATGGAATACTATGCAGCTGTAAAAAAAGAAGGATCTATTACCCTTAAGACAGCACGGAGGGACCTGGAGGTTATTATGCTAAGCGAAATAAACCAGTCAGAGAAAGACAAATATCACATGATCTCACTTATATGTGGAATGTAATGAACAAAATAAACTGATGAATAAAATAGAACCAGAGGCATGGAAACATGGAACAGACTGACAAATCTCAGAGGAAATTGGGAGGGGGGGAGAGGTTAACCAAAGAACTTATATGCATACTAGAGGCCCGGTGCACAAAATTCATGCAGGAGGGGGTCCCTCAGCCGGGCCTGTACCCTCTCCAATCTGGGACCCCTCGGGGGATGTCTGCCAGTTTAGGCCCGATCCCTGTGGGACATCCCTCTCAGAATCTGGGACCGCTGGCTCCTAACTGCTTGCCTGCCTGCCTGCCTGCCTGCCTGCCTGATCGCCCCTAGCCCCTCTGCCTGCCCCTACCTTGGCCCCCTGCCGGCCTGATCGACCCTAACTTGCCCCCCCTGCCGGCCTGATTGCCTCTAACTTGCTCCCCTACCGGCCTAATCGCCCCTAACCACCTCTGCCTCAGCCCCCAGCCTAAGCCACAGTCTGGTCTCCCTCTGTGGGAGGCGACCTGGTGGATCAGGGGAAGGCACCACCCTCATTACCCCGCTGCTGCTGCCACTGCCGGCCTGAGCCTGGGCCCTTCGCAGCCGCGCCTCGGCCCTCACAGCAGCTGCGGCTTTGTCTGGAAGGACGTGCGAAAGGTCATCCGGAAGATGTCCGCTCTAATTAGCATATTACCCTTTTATTAGTATAGATATGCATTGCACATGAACACAGACAATAGGGTGGTGAAAGCCTGGGGCAGGTTGGGGACTGGGTGGAGGAGGGCAATAGGTTAACAAGAGAACATCTGTAATATTCTCAATAATAAAGATTTTTTAAAGAGTATGTTTTAAGAAACATGGAACATTTTCAAATATATGGCATCTTTTTCAAAGTAGCTACCTTAGATACCTTAGAAAACAGCTCTTACTAAAAAGTCAATTCACAATTAATGCAAAAGATATGGCAAAAAATGCAAACATTTACAAAAACTATGCCACAGAAAATTCCAATAGAGGAACTCAAAATGGTTTTAAGCAATGCAATATCACCAAAATAAGTGACAACTTTGAAAGAGAAAACATTCATTTGGATGTGAAATATACAGGCTATTTTGTTAAAGAAAAAAAAAAGCAATTACCTTCTTTAGGTTATCTAATACAACCTTTCACATACCCAAATACACTCATACTTGCTCAGTGTGCTTCTCATATTTTCAGTGGAAGATGAATTTATGCTTGAAATGTATTAACACAGCATGCCTTTCCTCTCTTTCATGTTATTCTGTTTCTAAAATCCAATGTCTTTTGTGATTGAAGAATTTGAACCTAATGGAAGAAAGGTTAAGAGAAAATCTCCATGCAGGTAGAAAATTTGGAGATGACATTATTCTACTGAAATTGCTGGGCAGATGTTGAAAAAGTCAGTGGAATGAGTATAACTGACCAGCTCTTCATAGAGAAGAGACCAGAGAAAAGGAATGCTCCCAGGAGCAAATTGCAGCAAATCAGGATTTTGGCAGTAGATAAAAAGAGCTAAAGCTGATTGATCCTAAGTTCCAGGAACTACATATGGTTATCCTTTACTGTGTTCCCAGCACCTAAGAATCACCTTTGTTATTTCAATGCAATGTCCTTTAGCCAATGAGAGATGTGGGGAAAATAGAAAGTGCATAAGTGCACTTAGAATACAATAATACACAAAAAGACACTACTCTGAAATAATTATAGTGGGAAATACCTGCTTCTAGAACCCAACTCCAGAAGCATGAACTATGTGGGAAAAGTCCAAGAACAGAAATAATGTGGAGGGAGAGGAAGAATATTAGATAAGAAGTTATATGCCCATTTGAAATCGGAGGAAAACACATAGATGCAAAGGAGCAAAGTGCTATTTTATTCTGCAATAGCCTGACCTGTTGGGAGCAGGCCAGTCTAGTGAGATTACACCACCTTGAACCGTGACTAAGGAGTCAGGTAAGAGAGGTGTTAGCTGAAATGGCAGAGTGTGACCCCAGACGCGGTCAGGCTCCGGCAATTTGCCTCGTTTTGACTTTAGAAGATGAAAGGAAAATCACTTCCAAGAGATCAAGCTCCAACCTATAAATGACGGCTGCAGAGAAGTCAGGGCAGGAGCGGGGTAGGACCTGGAGCACCCTGAAAACGTCCGGGTTTTGACTGGAGCTCGGCAGCAGGGCGCTGTAGCAGCCCACGCCGCTCTCCGCGCCCCTCGCCAGGGGACCTCCGGAGCCTCCAGGCGGCAGCTCCAGGAGGTTCCTGTGAAATTCCCGTGAAAATGGGCAGGTCCACGCACCCACCTCCCGATGACAGGAGCTGCGGAGGGAGGAGGTCCGCGACACCAAACCGGGTCGGGGCGACGTCGCTGGGGGAGGAGCGGGGGCGGCGCCCGGCGGGGCTGGGCCGAAGGTGGTCCTTCCGACCCCGCACGCCCCGGACCTGTCAGCGGCGCCCGACCCCGAGTGGGCCGTTGGGTCTGGCGAAGGGAGGGTCCTTACCCATGTGCTGCGTGTCCAACTGCACGGCCGGCATCTCCTTCAGAGGAATGTGCCCCGTTCCGCCGTCTCTGCAGCACCGCAGGCAGCAGAACACCGAGGCGGCCATCACGCAGGGACCACTGACTCCTCGGCTGCCTGTCGCTCTTAGACCGCGGCGACCCCTCCCTCACCCCTCCTCTCTACCTCCCGCCCCGCCCGAGAGCCGGAGGTGTCGGTGT